ACCGTTGGGAATCGCTGAGGGGTCTGATTTCATAGGTAAGGTCATCCAACTTCATGATACCTTCAAGGCCCCCATAGCACATGTCCATGGTGACCATGGAAAGAGGAATCTCCTCCAGGTAGCCGAGGTAGTAACAGTCTGGAGGGATGAAGGGGTAGTCCATCTGCAAGGCTCCCTGATCATCCTGAGTCATCATCAGCAAATGTCTGGACCAAAAGAGTTTCTTGTGCCTCATGTGGATAACATGGCTCTTGCCCCCAAAATTCAGGCTATAGGACAGCCAGCCAGGCATCTGAACGCCCTTGCCGTGGTGCAACTCCTTCTTGGGAATTACCACCTCAGAAGAGATGTAGCGCCATGAGGGACGACCTTGAGAACCTTGGACAGGAGCCAGCAATGCCCAGAGAGCAAACAGCAAGAGGGGTGCCCTCAGGGTGACCTGGTCCTCTGCCAGCCTCATGCCCCTGCTCAGGGACATCTGCCAGTTGAGAATGGATAAATGGAGGATCCTCAGCAAAGCCAGATCTAGACCATCAGACAGAACAGAGGGCTGTACCGGGTGGCCAGCACCCTACACCTCGGGGCCACCTGTGGGGTTAGGTAACAGTCACAGGGCGTGGCATTGGGTGACCCTGCTCATCAGTTCAGCTGGGGCACATGTGGCAGAGGCAGGTGGGCCATATCCAAGCGTGCTCACATGGACATAGTGAGGACTTGGACCCAGAGACATGGCTCTATTCAACACATTCCATCTTTCCTCCAGCTAGTGAATGTGGGATATGCAATTTTAATACCCTGAACTTCTCTACCAATTCCATGTCCTGTGGTACTGCTGGGTCACTTTCCATGGATTACTGCTTTCCTCATTATGGAGACCACTGCTTCCTACTTCCTTGGGATGTAGAGGTAGACATTGTCAATTTTACCTTTGTACGTATTGAAAAACATTGCTTTGTAATTTTACATGTCTTATTCTGGTTGGCTATTAGTTTGCAAGCCATTTGATCCTTTTGGTTTTTGCTTTGAAGCTTCCTCTGAGTTTACTGAGGGAACATTTCCCAGGATTCTGTGTCATGATTGGTGAAGTACAAGGTTGTATTTTAGTTTTTTCTTATGCCGTCTGGTGAGAACAGAAAGTACTGCTGAACATGTGTGAGCCCCAGGGGATTTCCCCTCTAATCCCTTATTGTGGTTCTTTCCTGGCCTCTGGCAGTCTCCTCCCATGCCTGTGAGTTTCTCTCCTCAGGGGGAGATAGATGCAGGGGACTTGAGGTTACGTTGGCAGCTTGCACCATGGAGGCTGCACATGATCGAAAATGGTATCCACCATGGAACCCCCTTGTTTAAGTACCGTCTAGTCCTTTAAAATCCCCTGGGTTGGGCAGAAACCCTCAGAGTTGGCTTTTGGAGAAGAGTCTGCCTTTTCTCCGGGTGGCTGGCCTCCTAAATAAAGCTCAACTTCTTTTCCCACCAAAACTAAAACTTTGAACATTGACCTTTCCAGAAATACTCAGCTGAATTTGGGATTTGATAACAATACAATGGAGAGTGGAATGGCAGTTGTCTGGGGCTGGCAGGGTGGGGCTATGAGGAGTAGACCTCAAGGGGTATGATTTTCTGTTATGCAAGATGATTAAGTTCTAGAGGGGTCTCCACAACATTACCCTTGTATTTAACAGTACTGTATGGTTCAAGTTTTGTGAAGAGTGTTGGTCTCATGTTCAGTGAGATCCTAACACAAAACCAAAGTGGAAGACACGAATTTTGCTTCTCATACGAGAGTATGCTGAACTGCATGGACACACTCTCTACTGATAATGTGAAAATAATTTAAAAACATTTACATACTTTGAATACTAACCCTGAGGATATGTCATTTACAAATATCTAGTTCCATTCCATAGGTTGCCTTTTAGTTTTGTTGATTGTTTCCCTCACTGTGCAGAAGCGTGCTATTCTGAGGTAGTCCCAATAGTTCATATATGTATGTATTTAAGTTTCTTGTTTTATTTATTTTTTTCAACGTTTTTTATTTATTTTTGGGACAGAGAGAGACAGAGCATGAACGGGGGAGGGGCAGAGAGAGAGGGAGGCACAGAATCGGAAACAGGCTCCAGGCTCCGAGCCATCAGCCCAGAGCCCGACGCGGGGCTCGAACTCACGGACCGCGAGATCGTGACCTGGCTGAAGTCGGACGCTTAACCGACTGAGCCACCCAGGCGCCCCATGAATTACCTTTTAGAAGAGCAACCAGGAAAACCCAGCCCAGCACAAACTCCATGGTGAGGTGTGTGTGTTCTGTGCTGATCACAGAATGGGAACACCTGGGACTCCTGGGGCTGGCGCTCGTCTCCCAGCTGCACGGTCGGGCTGGGCTGGTTTTATCAGCACAGAGAGGGCCCCATTTGCATGTGCTCTGACATATATATTACACTCCAGACTTAGATTTGATTCTTTAAAAGTGAACAAGTTTAAGGATGCACTTGTAGAGTAGTTTGTGTAGATGGCGCTGTGACAATATGAAGAATTCTAATCGGTGAGCACAGGTATATTTGCAGGGACTTGTGCATTTTTACATGTCTTTCATCAACAAAGGTCATTTTCACTCTACAATTATTTTACATAATTTATAAAGTTTAATCCCAAGTACTTTATTCTGTCCCATTTTCAGTTGTATAATTTTGTTATTTGTTTTGTATTTATTTCCATGCTGGTGTGTAGAATCACAGGTGGTTTATTTTTATTCATTTTGTTTGTTCATTTTGCATCCTGCACTTTTCCTCATTTTAAAAAAACTGGTTCTAATATTTTTTGTGGTATCTCTAGGGTTTTGTTATGTTTAAGATCATGTCATCTGCAAACAAGTAATTGTCCTTCCTCCTTACTGATTTTAATGTCTTTTATTTCTTTTTATTGCCAAAGTTTGTGGGTACTTCTTCCAGTTGTAGGAGAAGAATGCTTTTTCCTTCTTTTCTTCTGGGCTTTCATCCTGTCTAAGGATTCAATTGACATAAGACTGATCTAAAGGGGAGAATAAATTTCATTTTGCAAGTGCCTGGGCTTCCTAATAATATGACACCCAGAGAATGAACAAAGCAGGTGGCACTTGTGACTTTCAGACAACGAAATATTGGATTTGGCAGGAGTCAAGGCAAAGGTGTGGTTTTCGGATATGTAATTAGTCAAGTAACTAGGTTTGTTTGCACAACCTTCTTGTCCCTGACTTCCTTATTCTGGTGCTAAGGATGGTTCTCCCCTCCTGGTACAGGGAAGGGGAGTTTCCCAAGGGAGATTTATATCCTGCTGTCAAGGGACACAGGAGGGTCTGAGTGTCCTTGGACTGGCTGTTTCTCCCGTGACTTTCATCCAAATAAGGACTGTGACACGATGATATGGTTTGAGGCGGCATAGTTATTCTTCACGTTATCATGTGGAATACTTCTATTGGGGATGACCATCATTGCCTGGCTCCTGATGTGGCAGGAATGGTTTTAGTATTTTATGTTCAATATGCTGTCAGGTGTGGGCTTTCATAGTGGCCATGATCATGTGGAGGTAATTTCCTTCTCCTTTTTAATTGAGTTACTTTAAATGATGAACATGTGCTTTTGTTCATGAAAAAACTGTCTAATGATTTTATGAATAAGTTAAGGATGGCTTTGATTCAATAATTCCATCTGGTAATGGAGGACATCACGTTTTTGCATTTGTGTATGTTGAAGGATACTTGCATCCCAGGGATGCATCATACTGGATTATCATGTATGATCCTTTCAGTGTGCTGTTGAATTCAGTAGGCTCGGATTTCATCAAGGACTTTTGCATGTATGTTTATCTGAGACACTGGCCTGTAGTTTCCCTTCTTGTGGTGTGTTTCTCTGGCTTTGTTGTGAGAATAAAGGTGTCCTCATAAAGTGCATCTGGGAGTGGTCTTTTTCATCAGCAATTTGTAATAGTTTGAGAAGTATTGGCATTAATTATTCTTTAAATATTGTAGAATTTTAATAACGCCTTGTTTGTTTTGGAGGGTGAAAGTTTTATATTAAGGATATCTTCTTACTAATTTTTGTTTTGTTCCTCTTGTATTTTTGCATGAAAGAGTCTTGGTGGCTTACATGATGCTAGAAAATGTGTAATTTGCTCCTGGTGATCTAATTGTTGGCCTATAAATACCTAAGTTTTTCTTTAATTATCTTTTCATGTCTTTAGTTCAGTTATGTCTCCTTTTTCAGTTCCGATAGCATTTGTTTGAATCTTACCTATTTCCCTAGGCTACCTATGTTTTTTAAATTTCACTTATCTTCCAAATTCAAATTTTAATGAAGTTGATTTGTTTTCTGTATTTGTGATAGTCTATATCTTTTCTATGATGTATCTCTTTATGTTAATTTTATATTTATCTTTTTATCTCAATGAAAATACCAATGCCTTTTTTTTTAAAGGAATCTGAAAAGTATACTAATTCATAGGGAACCACACAACACATGGACGTAATAAAACAATCATGAAGAGGAGAGAACCTGGAGACATCACACGTCTTCCTTCTAAATATATTGCAGAGGTACATTAACTCCCACAGTGTACTGCTGGCATGAAATGAGACATATAGACCAGTGGAGCTCATTACGGAGCCCAGAAGTAGAATTGTGCAGATGCAGTCAGCAAATCCTCCATGAGATTTCCAACAATGCACAGTGGGGAAAGGATCGTGTCTCTTAAACATGGGGTTGACTAGGGGCGCCTGGGTGGCTCAGTCGGTTAAGCATCCAACTTCCAGTCACGTACTGATGTCATGGTTTGTGGGTTTGAGCCCCACATCAGGCTCTGTGCTGACAGCCCAGAGCCTGGATTCTGTCTCTGCCTCTATCTCTGTGCCTCCCCTGCTCATGATTTGTCCCTCTCCCTCAAAAATAAAAGAAACATTAAAAAATGGTGTTGATATATGCAAAATAATGCAATTAATGCAAAATACATGCAAAATAATGACATTTGGCCATAATATTGCATCATACATATATGTCAACACAAAAAAAACTCAAAATGGATTAAAGATTAAGCAGAACAGCTGACCCAAAATGGCTTCGAAGAAAACACACAGGATAAACATCATGACATTCTCTTGACAATGATTTATTTGATACCAAAGCAAAATCACAGAGAACCTTGGCAGACAAGAGGGACTGCATCAAACTAGAAAGGGGGCAAATCAAACAGTAGCAGGGTGAGAAGGCAGTCTATGAAATGGGAGATATTACATTAAAAATATTGAAAAGGAGTTAATATCCAAAATACAGGAGGGACTCCTTAACATCAAGAGCAAAAATCACAATTATAATCATAACAGTAAGCACATCACCTGATTAAAATTTGGGTCAAGCATGTAAATATCCATTTCGCTATTAAGGTTGAAAAAATGTCCATCCAGCATATGAATGGTGTTCATCATCACTAATCATCAGAGTATTCCACCCCCGATCCACTGAGATATCACCTCACAACTGATAGCAAGGCTATTATAAAATAAGGCAAACACAACGAGAACATCTCAAGTGTTGCTGAGGATGTGGAGAACAGGCAATCCTACAATTCACTTGATGGGAGTGCAACATAGTGTAGCTACTATGGAAAACTGTGGTGAAATAACCCACTAAACTGAGTTCCTAATCTGCTCCCATACAGTTGACTTCATGTCCAGCTGAGTGTGAGGAAGGTCTGGGCCTCATGTTCTGTGGAGAGGAGGTGCAGAGACAGGTGGATCCAGTGGATGATTCCTTAACTCCTTCAGTAGAATGGACCCCTGGCTGACCGTTTTGTAAGACTTGATTCAGTGTGCCTCCCCACTGGTTGTCTCTGGTTTCCTGAACTGGATGGAGAACAAAAGGAGTGAGGATAGAAACTACTCTTTTCTCTCACAGGAACGTGTATATACTGAGAATCCTTGAGAGAAAGTCGCGGAGTTGATGAAGATGCTGTAGGGTTTCGACAACCACAAGGGTCTTTCCTCATGGTCTCTCTTCATGGGCATCAAAGGAAAACCTTAAGGAAAGTAAAAGGAGAGAGGAGCTGCTCAAATGTATTAAATTTAGATCACTTGAATGAGTCAGTCTCCTCTGTTTGAAAATCACTTACATGTATTTTAAATGGTGGCCCGTGTACTTGTGAGGCACAGGTCTGTATATGAGTTGATTTATCCCTAAGCTTGGTCTCTGTCAAGGTCGGCACTACTATATGACTGTTCACTCTAAACGTTAGAAGACATCTGTGTTTGTAAATGGTTTAGGAAGCAGTGTGTGCTGTTTACTGGTCAGCATGAAGTTTCCAGGGCGTGATGAGAAAGATGCTTCACAGGAAACCTGACCCTGAAGCACTGGTTCTGGATATGAATTCTGAGACTTGGGTGCCCCCTGGAGACCTGCGAACCTCCAGATTACCTACGTGGCTCCTGGTGTCCTGTGCGTTCCTGATGACCTGAGT